GGATAATTCCCCAAAAATCCCACAGGACCCATTCCCGCTGTCCCCAGGCCGCCGCCCGGCCGCCATCGTGTCCCCCGTGGCCGGCACCACGCGGGACGTGCTGGAGGTGCCGCTGGACATCGGGGGGTACCCGCTGGTGCTCAGCGACACCGCGGGGCTGCGCGCGGCCACCGAGCCCGTGGAGCGCGAGGGGGTGGCACGGGCCCGGCAACGGTGAGACCTGGGGGGGTTTGGGGGGTTTTGGGGGGGTTTTGGGGGGGGTTTGAGGCGTTTTGCCCTTGCCATGTTGTCCCCAGGCTGTGCCAGACTGACTTGTTGCTGGCAGTGCTGGATGCCACCTTGGTGTCACCCACTCTGGTGGCTCTGGGGACTAGGGGGTTTTGGGGAGGTTTTGGTGTGGTTTTGAGGTTTTTGGGGGTTTCCAGGGGTGTCCTCACAGCTCAGACCCGAAGGTGACACCACCATGTCGTCCCCAGGCTGTGCAGTGCTGGATGTCACCTCGGTGTCACTCATGCCGGTGGCTCTGAGGGCTGGGGTTGTTTTGGGATGGTTTTGGGGGATTTGGGGTGGTTTTGAGGGGTTTTGGGGGTGTTCTTACTATGTTGTCCCCAGGCTGTGCCAGGCTGGCAGTGCTGGATGCCACCTTGGTGTCACCCATGCTGGTGGCTCCGGGGGTTGCACTTGCCTGGAGAAGTTTTTGGGGAGTTTGGGGTTGTTTTGGGGGTTTTGGGGTGGTTTCAGGGGCGTCTGCACAGCTCAGACCCGAACGTGACATCGTCATGTTGTCCCTTGGTTGGCAATGCTGGATGCCACCTCAGTGTCACCCACCCCCGTGGCCCTGGGGTCTTGGGAGGTTTTGGGTTGGTTTTGGAGGGGTTTTGGGTTGGTTTTGGAGGGGTTTTGGGTTGGTTTTGAGGTGTTTTTGGGGTGTTTTTGGGGTGGTTTCAGGTGTATCCCCCCAGCTCAGACCCGAAGGTGACACCGCCCTGTTGTCCCCAGGCTGTGCCAGGCTGACCTGGTGCTGGCAGTGCTGGATGTCACCTCAGTGTCACCCACCCCGCTGGCCCTGGGGGCCGCTCTGGACGCCCTGGAGCCCCCCCCGGGCACCCCCTGTGTGCTGGTGCTCAACAAGGCCGACCTGCTGGGGGGACAGGGCGTGTCCCCGAGTGCCACCTGTGCCCAGGGACACCCTGCCACCCTCCTGTCCTGCAAGACGGGCGAGGGGCTGGAGGCGCTGCTGGAGCTGCTGGCGAAACAGCTGGAACAGCTGTGAGTGCAGGGGGGGGATGGGGGAGATCCCAAAGGCTCATCCTGGTTTTTGGGGTGCTCTGAGCTGGCTGATTTCCCTTTTCCCATCCCTGATCCCTTTTCCATCACTGATCCCTTTCCCATAGCTGATCCCCTTTTTTCCATGACTGGATCCCCCTTTTCCCACCACTGATCTCCCGTTTCCCATCCCTGATTCCTTGTCCCATGGCTGATCCCTTTTTCCATCCCTGTGGAAAGGGGATCCCTGTGTGGGGATCCCCTTTTCCCATCCCTGATCCTTTTTCCCATGACTGATTCCCTTTCCCACCACTGATCTCCCTTTTCCCATCCCTGATCCCTTTTTCCAACAACTTCTTCCCCTTTTCCAGGTATGGGGATCCCCTTTTCCCATGACTGATCCCCTTTCCCATCACTGCTCCCAATTTTCCAGGTGCAGGGATCCCCTTTCCCATAACTGATCCCCTTTTCCCATCCCATGAATCCCATCCCATGAATCCCATCCCATCCCAAAATCCCATCCCATTTTCCCCGACCCCTTTCCCATCCCTGACCCCCTTTTTCCCACACCTTCTCCCCCTTTTCCAGGTGTGGGGATCCCCTTTTGGGGTCCCCCAGCCTGACCCAGAGCAGGCACAGCCGCCACCTCGGGGCGTGCGTGGCAGCGCTGGCACGGTTCAACCGTGGGGACAACGGGGACCTGGCGGTGGCAGCCGAGCAGCTGCGGGTGGCACGGAGGGAGCTGGGCAGGATCACCGGCCACGTGGGCACCGAGGACATCCTGGATGTCATTTTTAGGGATTTTTGTGTCGGGAAGTGACGCTGGCAACTCGTGGGGTCGTCCCCGTTGTTGTGGTGTCACACAAGGGGATTAAACCTTGGTGGCTTTGATGGTGTCCCCTCGTTGGTGTCCCCAAGCCTCAAACGTGGGGGGAAAAAATCCCGGAAAAAGCCCAGAAAAAAAAAACAGAAAAAAAACCCGGAAAAACACCCCAAAATGGCCCATTAAAAAAAAAAAAAAACCAAAAAACAAAAAGGTCCCATTTCCTGGCCATAGGGACAAACAAGGAGCTGGAAAAGCCACAGTGGGACAAGGGACAGCGGGGTCCCTTTTGTGGAAAATATTTTTATAGTGAGAGTTCTACAGTAGGAATGCATTTATTCAGCGCTGAGGTGCGCGGGGATAATTCCTCCCAAAGCACGCACCCCAAAACTTCAAATCCTGCTCAATTTATTCCCTAAAAGTTTAGGATTACACAATTCACTCATACATATTCATGTTAGGACGATGTTAGGCCACGCCTCGCCTCGCTTTGTATTAAAATAAACCAAAAATCCTTTTGTGCTCGCGCCTCCCCAGTTCACGCTCTATCCAGAGCTGAATTCCCAGGATTAATTCCCAGTATTCCCAGTATAACTCACTCTCTATCCCGGGCTGCATTCCCAGCATTTCATTCCCATTATTAACAGTATAACTCACGCACTATCCAGGGCTGTAATCCAAGGATTTCATTCATTTCATAATCACTATACCCAGCATAACTCACGCTGCATCCCGGGCTCTATTCCCCGGATTTCATTCCCATTATTCCCAGTATAACTCACGCTCTATCCAGGGCTGTATTCCCAGGATTTCATTCCCAGTTTTCCCAGTATAACTCACACTTTATCAAGGGCTGTATTCTCAGGATTTCATTCCCAGTTTTCCCAGTATAACTCACGCTCTATCCAGGGCTGTATTCCCCGGATTTTATTCCCATTATTCCCAGTATAACTCACGCTCTATCCAGGGCTGTATTCCCCGGATTTCATTCCCATTATTCCCAGTATAACTCACGCTCTATCCAGGGCTGTATTCCCAGGATTTCTTTCCCAGTACTGGGAATAGTGGGAATGAAATCCTGGCCGCCCATCCAGTGCTGTGCCTGCTCCCGTTCCAAACGGACCGGGACAGCCTCGTGCAATCCTGGCTTTTCTTGGAGCGCCAAACGCCTCCTCCGGACTGCTCCCGGCTCCCGGGCTGGGGCGTTCGGTTCGGAAGGGCCCGGTCCAGAGGGGCGGAGGGAGAGGAAAAAGAGGAAGATGAGGAGGAGGAAGAAGAAAGGGGAGAGGGTTTGAGAGGAGGGGAAGCCCAAATCCGTGCTGTGTGCGGAGCTCCGACAGCACGCTGCAGCCCGCAGCTCAGTGTGAGCACGGGGCACAGGAGGCGATTTCTGGGCATTCAATCACCCTGAGCCGGGCCCCTGCAGCACCGTCCCCGGTACAGCTCGGTACCGCCCCGGGACCACCCGGGACCGCCCCCGGTACCGCCCCCGGTCCCGCCCGGTCCCGGGCTGGGCCGGGACCATCGCTGGCGGCCCCGGGCCGAAGCGGGCTGAAGGAGATGTCCGCACGATTGGAAACGCCGCCGAAAATCGCACCCGTGGGATCGGTGTCGGCGTCGTGCGCAGGCATCCCACTAGAACGAGCGGGCTCCTTGCTGTGCCACCCTCACTCTGCAGCCATAGTGAGAAGGTCGGGGAGCGACACCCGAGCCGCCATCTTGGGAGTGGCACTCGAGCCGCTATCTTGGGAGTGGCAGCGCGCAGTACCGCGCTCTGCTCACAAGGCGGCGCTCGGGAGACAGGCAAGGGAATAAAGGAGAGTCCCAATCCTTGAGGAAATCGCCCTGAATGAACGCCCCAAAAAACCCCGACCAGAACTGAGAAACCTCCTGCCTCTGTATGAGTGCAAAGGGTGTGCAAATGAGTGCCGAGCGATCGATCGGCAGGCATTAGCGATCTATCGCCGATGTAACCGATCGGCAGGCATTAGCGATCGATCGCCGATGTAATCGATCGGCAGGCATTAGCGATCGAGCGCCGATGTAATCGATCGGCAGGCATTAGCGATCGATCGCCGATGTAATCGATCGGGCAGGCATGACTAGTCGATCGCCGAGCTAATCGATTGACAGGCATTAGCAGCCGATCGCCGAACTAATCGATTGGCAGCCATGCTCAAACGCCGAGCAATCAATTGGCAGAATCAATTATGACAGGAAAAAAACCCGAAAAATTATTGATGACAGCGAGAACCCACAGTATAAGAAGAGGCTGTAAACCAAGGTTCGGTGGAGCGTGGAGTGGGCGGTGACCCCTCACGTTCCCCAGCTCTGCTTGCTCTTTTTATATCAAATAAAGCAATCTAAATTTTGCTGAATATCGAGACTTTTGTCTCTCATTTATAACAAACTCAAGCAAAGGAGCCGCTCTTTCTCTCCCCGCCCCGCCCCTCAGGCCGCACCAGCCACAGCACATGCGCAGAGCGGCCCCACGTGACCGGCGCCGCGCGCCGTCTCCGTAGCGACGCGGCCGTAAAGCGCGGTCGCGCGGGTGTCGCGGCTCTTCCGTCCGTGCGGCGCGGCCCTGCGGCCCGGGGAGTCGCGGCCATGGAGATGCCGCTGCCGCCCGAGGGTGAGGGGCGATCGGGGGGCTCGGGGAGAGCGGGGGGGTAACCGCGGGAGCGGGAAGGGAGCGGGAAGAGCGGGGGCTGACAGCTCTGCCTTCCCACAGACCAGGAGCTGCGGAATGTCATCGACAAGCTGGCGCAGTTTGTGGCGCGGAACGGGCCAGAGTTTGAGAAGATGACGATGGAGAAGCAGAAGGAGAACCCCAAATTCTCCTTCCTCTTTGGGGGTGACTTCTACGGCTACTACAAGTACAAGCTGGCCCTGGAGCAGCAGCAGCGTGAGTGGGGCCTGCGGCTCGGGCAGGGCCGGTTCGGGGCTCCCTCCCTCCCCCGGGCGCGGTGTCTCGGGGCCGGCCGAGACTCTTTTGTCTCTCCTGGCCTGGCCCTGCTTCTCCAGAACCGCTTTGCTGCCTCTTCGTGCGCTCTGGGTTCCCGGGAGTTGGCCGAGCGCTGCCCGCGGCTCCTCAAGGCCCCGGCTGTGGGTTTGGAGGCGGGCAGGGGCAGCCGCAGGGATGGGCAGCGTGGTGACACGGAGCTCAGCACCTGGGGAGCCGGAACCCGGCTTGTCCTGCAGTTGTTCCTCTGCGAGTGCACAGGGAGTTGCTGACTCTCCCCTCCTGCACCATCCACCCGCGATTTTGCGTTAACCGTAGAATCGTAGAATGTGCTGAGTTGGAAGGGACCTATCAGGAGCATCGAGTCCAACCTCCGGCCCTGCGCAGGACACCCCAAGAATCCCACTAAGTGTCTGAGAGCGTTGTCCACGCAGCTCTGGAGATCCCTCTGACCCCCTCCGAGCGAGGGTCTATTTGGAACCAGTGCCATTTGCACACGTGGGTTGGCGGTAGCAGGTTTCTGTGGGAGGGTTACTTTCAAAGTTTACTCTGTCTGCTTAGTGTTGTGCAAGCAAAGCCAAGACATCGAGGCTTCTGCACAGATCCAGCCACTGCCACAGCCCTCGCTGCCACCGGCTGCGCCCATCCCAGCCCCTCAGGGCACCCCATCTGTGGAGGAGCTCATCCAGCAGAGTCAGTGGAACCTGCAGCAGCAGGAGCAGCATCTCCTCGCTATGAGACAGGTTGGTTGAAGGTGAACGCTCACCTGGTGTGTCCTTACCTGTCAGTGGCTGTAGGAATTGGGAGTGGAGGGGGAGAGGATGGTTTGGTGCTGAGCAGTGATGGAGGTGAGGAGAAGGGATGGTGCTTTTCTCATTTTTGTTGTGTGGCAAATGCCAGTGTTGCCCTAGAGTGGATATATCTGATATGTAGGCTGTGCTGGCATGATTGACCTGTGATTAAAACCTTTTATTTAATCTTTGAAAAACCTTGCTAGTTTTAGAGTGGAATAGCTTGTGATCACCTTAACTTAGGTTAAATGCTGCAGATTGCTGGGAACTGCAAGATATTCCAGTTAGTAATATTCTGACTTAAATGTGATTCTGGGTGGAAGGGTGTGCTATCAACTAGCTGATTCTTGCAGGAGATGTTTAGCTGTTAAAGCTGCTGGAAACCAAACTGAAGAGTTCCTCGTGCCTTGGTTATGTTCCTTACATTTAAGAGCTTCTTGAAATTATTTTTTTATTACGTGATAGATTTTGGAAGTAAATTGGGCTTTTCCTGAAAAAGATGAAGAATCTTTTCAGAACTAAAGAATTCAAACATTTTCATGAGGTCACAGTGCTTGTAAAAGGTTCTTGAGAGATAGCTACTTATGTCCCAGAGGGTAAGGATACAGCAGCTTCATTCTTTAAAAGGGTGTTTGCTACAATGTAATTTTTTCTCTTTTTTTCCTTTGTTTCTGTTTTTTTTTAATCAGGAACAAGTCACATCAGCAGTAGCCCTTGCAATTGAGCAACAAATGCAGAAGGTTTTGGAGGAAACCCAGTTAGATATGAACGAATTTGACAACTTGTTGCAGCCAATAATTGACACTTGCACGAAAGATGCAATCTCAGTAAGTGGTGTGGATCTGCACGGGGGTTTGGTGGTGCTGTGGGTTCCTTTGAATGTTGAGATTCTCTGAACATTAACAACAACTTTCTGTCTGTGTTGGGTGGCAGGTAAGATGAAAGCTGTCACCTGAAAAATCCCTCCCTGCACTTATTTCAGAGCTGCAGGAAACCCATATCGTGGGAATGCTTTAGACTGACTTGAAATATTTCAAATTTGCTTTCCTAAGGCTGGCAAGAACTGGATGTTTAGCAATGCCAAGTCCCCTGCACACTGTGAGCTGATGGCTGGACATCTGAGGAACAGGATCACGGCAGAGGGAGCTCACTTTGAGCTGCGCCTGCACCTCATCTACTTGATCAATGACGTTCTGCATCACTGGTAAGAAATCATTTTGGGTTTCAGTTTGCTGTTTTGATTAATTTGATGGAGTCTTTCTCTTAGATACAGTGTTGGTTGGCAGGTTGACTAGTCACTTTGTATTTTTAACGT